CGACCACCACCACCACCACCACCACCACCACCACCACCACCACCACCACCACCACCATCGCTTCCGAACCGCGACCGCGCCTTCTTCGGTGAAAACCACGGCTCTCCAGTACGAGCCAGCGGCTCTTTTACCGGCCGGTGAACTTTGGTCGTCTAGTGGGCGTCGGTAAAGCAGACCGCGACAGTGCCCAGGCCTTGGGAGGTGCCCACGCCGTATTAGGTTTCCCTCCCGGACTCTTCACGCCTTTTTTCCACGCTCTGACTCATTTTCCGAGCACGCTTTCTTACGTTCCCACGACCCCGGGACGCGCCTCTCTTCCTGCTTCTATTTTCGAGCGAGCGACTTCTTCCCATTTATCTGGATTATCGGCAGCCGCCCCACACTCCTCTGCCCTTACGCCACGCTATTGATCAAATCTCTGACTCGCTCTGCCCAATACCGCGTATTTTTAATTTTCCAATCGCTCCTACTATAAATACCCAACCTCCTATTTATATCGACGTATCTTTCAAGTGCTTGGAGAGAAAATAAAATCGACAAATGAATTCCAAAATTTTATTTACATCCGCGTCTGCGCAACCTCACGTCGCAAAGATACTAACTTCCCCGTGATAAATGGCCCTCTAAATTCTAAACTACGAGGACGCTATATTTTTGGTCTTTGTTGTTTTAGCTTTCAGAGGAGCGAAAAACATTACGCGATAGAGGTATAATTTTATTTATCAACTAAGCAAATTTCTCACCTCTTCCTCCTTCATTTCTACTTCCGTGATAGCATCGTCGTTATAATATCTCAATCAATCCTAAGTAATTTCGATTTCAGATACGACAAATTACAAAATGCCAAATGTACAAGACGAGTACTGAGATTGGCCCCGATTAACCCATACAAGTTCAATAATAAAGTATTCAAAGGATTAATAATCTATCGTTACCTACTCTTTCAATCATCGCAACTTGCACAATCTATCAGCTATAATTGCACATCAATTACATCAGCTTCTATAAATTTAAAGCTTTTTTTCACAATCAGCGTATACCACGTCGACTTGAGATAAAAGCTCAAATCCATATGTCATAATGGTATTACCTACGGCCAATGAATCCATTGCGTGATACAATTCAAATGTAAATTATTTGCCATTAGAGGGAAAGAAAGTAAAAGGGATGAAGAAAAGCATTTACGGATGATTTTTCAACGATTTATTGCAATTCTAGCTGTTAAATGCGCATAAAAGGCGCAAAATTTTCATGTGACTCAAATAAACAATTCTACTTTTCATAAAATAAAACAGTTCGTTTTATTATTTCTTACACTTTTAATTTCGTAAATTTTGTCCCCTTTACTTCATTATTAAATGCACAATTAATGTTTGCCATAGAAATTTTCTTACCAAGGTTCATTATTAAAAATATACGGTAAAACAAAAAAGGAAATATTCGTAATAATAAATCGACGTGCTCGATTAAAAATAATAATAAAATTACAAACTTTCATAAAATTCACAATATTCCAATTAAAAAATATCTTGTAAAATGCATAAAAATATTATAAAAGTTGGTACACTTTATACCTATGTACATGAATATTATTATCAGACAGACTGTTTCACTTGCTTCACATTACTCGCAGAAATGTATATCATAAAAAATATAATATATCTTTAATATATAAGGTAACGTAATAGTAATTGATATAACATACACTTTGGGATAAGAGGATTTTTTTTTTTTTGCCGTATACACGCGAGTTTGTCGCGAAAAAAAAAACTAAAATTAAAAGAAAACAATAAACAACACGACCGCACCGCTAAGAGTTAGTCAATTTACTTGCGTAATGCTCATTTAATGCAAATTTCATCTCTCGTCTCTATCTGTACAATCTATTTTTTGTCTTCCTCTCGAATGTACTGATAAATGACGCTAAAATCTTTGCCGCCCAATCCGTGGGCCATCATTGTCCTATAAATTTGATGGGACAATGAGCCGAGGGCTATTGGTGATCCAGTTCTTGTTGCAGAGGCTTGTGCTAGTCCTAGATCCTTAGCTATTAAGGCCGTGCTGAATCCACCCTGCAATTGTTAATCGCAATAATTGATTATTGTAATAGGTAAAGAGGAGAGTCATGTAAAAAGTGATAGTCAATGATAAATCGAGACTTGTTTATTACATTGTAATCGTTGGAGCTGGGAACCGTTGGAATTAGTCCAGGAATCGGACTGTAAATTTCGGAGGACCAACATCTTCCCGTACTTGTGTTTATGATATCAGTTAGGATTTTCGGATTCAATCCTAATCTACAACATTGTAATTTATACTATTTCACTATATTAATGCTGATTGATATTATTGTAAATGTGCTATGATATTTTAATTAATGTTCAAATTTATTATTTTGGCTCATATAAAGTCATAATAAAGTCAAGCTCCTTGTAAATTTTTCAATTTATTTCCATCAAATTGTAAATCATAAATGGTAGAAAAAATTTGCCACCCTACTAATTCCTAAGTAAGTATATTTATTGTCAAATTAGCGATCAATTGATAATAAAGCATCCCTTAAATTTCTTTTGGAACACCGCAGATTCAGTAGTCGCGGCTAGACAAGCTTTACTTTACCCTTTAAGCGTTGATTATATGTTTGACTTCAAATTTTGTTACTTGCTAAGTAAAAACAATCGTTTTTTATTTAAGCTAACATTGCAATTAAAGTAATGCATGTTAAGAAATAAATTCTTAAGCACTTGACGTTAAGAATAAACTCTGTAAAATATACAAAAAGAGTGACTTTACGGGTGTTCGCTTAAAAACAAAAAAAAAAAAAAAAATTCAAAAAAACAAAAAAACAAAAAAAAACTACGAGGATACATAAATGACGTAAAAACTTTTAACACAATAGTTCAACAATAATGTCTAATGCTCGAATTGAAATGGTACGAAACTATAATAAAAATGATTATATAACGGTAACTCACTTGTCACCTAGATTGAGCGCTTCGGATACTCCAATCATTGAGATGGCGAGAAGCATATTGTTGCAAATCTTTGCCACTTGGCCCATTCCAATATCTCCGCAATGGACCGCTCTTGAACCCATCGCTTCTAAAAATGTCCTGGCTCCTTCAAAGTCCAGCTTAGACCCACCGACCATGAAAGTGAGGGTAGCATTTTCCGCCCCGACGACTCCTGAATTATAATATTAATTTATTTTCATTCATTGCGATAAATTCATAGCACTTGCGCGTTATCGATACCAGGACGTGCACACGACGTATTATGTAACTCTAATGTGTACCTCCTGAGACTGGGCCATCGATAAATCTAAGGCCATTCTTTTCCGCCTCTTTAGCAATTGTTTGTGAAACCGTCGGATCGATGGTGCTGCTGTCGACCAGAAGTGTGCCCTTCTTGGCGGCGCTGAAATTTCATTATATCATTTCCGTTATATTGCAGAAAATTAAGGAAGATTACTCGTTAAGCTAATCGACCAGCAACCTTATAATGCCTGTTTTACTGGTATAGCACTCCAAGACGTGTTGGTTCATGGGCAACATGGTAACAAGTACCTCGGAATTTTTCGATACCTCGGCAACGCTCGCGGCCCCTTTAGCGCCAGCACTCACAACATTTTCTATGGCCTTTTCGTTAATGTCGTAAACTGTGAGTCTGTATCCTTTTTTAATGAGATTCTTCGCCATGTAAGCGCCCATATTACCCAAGCCCACGAAGCCGACATTTGAAAAGTCTCGTTGACTCGCTAATAAGTTTTCAAATGATTATAAATAATGTCAAGACAAGTTTATGATAATTTTATAATCAGCGCATATATCCATCACTATAGATCCCTTAACTTTTGCACATTAATTATGTCATTGCTCATTTCCTTGAATAATCTCGCAATCGCTCTTATTGTAATTATACATTTATCATTCTTTCCATTTCTAATTAAGCATATCCAAAATAAGGACGACTGAATTCTTGTATGAAAAATACGGTTTAACTATAAAACTTAATATTATCTGTATAATGTGAATATAATACTCGGAAGACATACGAAATCTTGAAATATAAATAACACGGAGATACCAAACATATATATATATATATATATATATATATATATATATATATATAATGCAGAGGCTTATGAAAATAAAAAAATTTTAATTATACATTTAAGATTACACGAATTAATATTTAACATCATTTTTATATTATCGCAACTTAAATATTTACAAGGAAATAACTATTTTATACGAAAGGTTATTGTAGTATATTACACATGTAGAAAACATTAGGTTATCGAACTCGTAAATAAGTGCTTACGCAATATATCTGATAATTTAAGTTATTATATATACATATACATATATATATATACATATATATATATATATATATATTTGTTCATGTACGTGCCCGTGCATGCGTGCGTGTATGTGTCCGCGCGCATGTACGTATGTATATGTATTCATGCACATGCATCTGTACGTGCGTATATTTATGCGTGTGTATGTATTGAAATATCATACAGTATTATGTATAAAATTGAATAAAAGTTATATATCGATATATTATAAATGTATGTTTGTGCTTAATTGTAGAAAAATTGTTGGTACTTCATTGTTGAAAATGACAAAAACAACGTGTTAAACAAGTAACAATACCTCGGTAAGTTTTCTAAGCAAAAATTTCTTCAAACATTTGTTAATTTCGCTTTTTAATTCACGAGTGGCCAAAGGATTATTATCGTTTGAATATTTATTCTTATCGAAAGCTGTAATATTCCCTTGTAATATTCTTAACGCTAATTTAGACTATTTTATCGTGGAAAATTAACTAACGCCAATATTGCTTTATGAAAGAATACTAATATAAACAATAATGTATTCTATAAATAATAAATACTGAGATATAAAATAACTCACCTCTTCTAATTACACCTAAAGATTTCGCAAAAGTTGTAAGTATGCCCATATTTTGAGTAAATCAAGCGTATATCTTGAAATTCGGGGCAATCGGCACAAGAAATAAGAAAATCAAAGATATGGCCGAATAGTATTTCAAGACGAGACTTAATTCGAAATGTAATGTTTAATTCACTCCACCACTACATTGTTTACGAATAATGACGTACACGATTTTGACCTTTATCAATTATAAAAATTAAATTTTTGTTTAAAATCACTAGACTGATAAAAGGCTAAGAATCAAACTTTTAAATACAATGAGAAAAATGACGAAAAGTAATGTTATTTCTGCATCTCAGAAGTCAACAGAGTGAAATAAAGCTCGTCATCGCACGTACACAATAGCATACGTATATATAAGAACCAGTTCTATACTTCTCTCTCTCTCTCTCTCTCTCTCTCTCTCTCTCTCTCTTTCTCTTTCGCTTTTTCCCTCTCTCCTTATCTATCGCTGTCTCTATATCTATCTGTTTTTCTCTATCTAGTTATCTCTCTATCTCCATTATACATATACGAGCGCGTGTGTAGAGCACGCAAACAGGGTTTAAACTTTATTAACATAAAGTGTAAAGTGATTGGTTTAAAATAAGGCGAGGCCGAGTGGAGATCCTCTCATTTGTTGAATACTTATCAATAAGTTTGAATAAGCGCCTCTTCGTACCCATATTTTCGATTAGACAATTACCGTATTATCATGCAAATCCACAGTGTACTTGATAAATTAATAACTAATGCAATTAGTTATGAAATAATATAATGCAATCATATAAAAATTGTGTATTGTCAGAAGAAGGACTTTTAAAATAAACATAATCATTCGATTTTCTAATTTTGTATAACATAAAAACATAGTCTATTGTTTAAAAGCATACGACAAATGTATATAATATTATCTCTGTATACATATATTTATAAGTTTATAATCACGAAATTCATATTGTAGGTCATCTACATTAATTTTGAAGCAATAAAGATTCGCCCCATTACTATCGTCATCTCGGATCATTATCATCCAATTCATTTCTGAGCTTAAGTATGGTTTAGTAAATGAATTATTCCCTTAGTTATTTCTTTTGTATTTTTAAAGACTGGCAATTAAATTACCTACGCTTGATTCATAAAAAATAGTCATGCAAATCATTAGATAAAATATAAAGGCATTAGTGTTTCTATTATTTAATCAATTCACTATTCCTTTTAATACAATAAATTATTAAAATTAATTATTTTGAATGAATGGACCGACCCTGAATACCAAATTGAAAGCTGACAATTAATTTTATTTAGAAGGGATAAGCTTTTGTCATATATTTATTAATATTTTTTTTATGACAACGTATATCAATGCATTGTGAAAATGCTAATTGTAGTGGAAACATTTATAATAATGTGCTCATTTATGTGTATCTAAAACTTTATTGTAGATTAATATAGTATAAATTTTACAGGAATACCAATTTTTATTTAAACACTATGATTCAATTCAATTTAGTATCAATTATAAGATTTGAACACAAAAAATTAAATTATTGCGATAAAACATTTACAAAAATATAGAAAGTATTAAAACTATAACAATATTCAAATAACACAAACACATAATACTTTAATGTATATAGAGAGATTCATATGTAAAATACATTTGTACATTGTTACTTGGGATTCAATGTAGTTTAAACATTAAGTCATTTAAAATAATAATAATAATAATAATAATAATAATAATAATTCAAAGAGAGTGAATGAAGTTGCCTACTTAATTTTAGAGCACATAAGGACCAAAATTAGTTATTCGATGAAAATAATTTTTGTTTTATATTATAGAAAAATAAATTCAATATGCCTACATTGTTATTAATAAAAATATATTAATTTATATAGTGATTATGAGCTCGGATAAATTGAAATAATTTAATATGCGTATGACAAATATCTTATCATTATTTTTCGCCAAATTTCATAATATAAAAGGTTACATTTTCGAAAATAAATATTAACAACTCGAAGATATAGGATTTATAAGTTTTTCTACCATTATAATTGTTTTTTTTTTTGTTTTTTTTTTTGGCATTTTATAACATATTTGGCGTAATTATAACGTAAGAGCAAACCCACAAGTTTTCCATAATTAATTCGAACATAATAATAAAAATGAAAGGAAAACCGCCTCGTTAGCCTAGTTAAATCCAAGTTATCGCCAGCGAAAACAATTATAGAATTTGAATGCGCTCCTTAACTATATAAAAGGAAATTACTTAAAGTTTCAGAGTTTTAATTGCAATATTAATATTGATCGAAGAAGACCTGATTTTTAATGATAATAAAGCTCATACGTTTTGTGAAAGTTATTTCATTTAGTAATTATGGCAATTCTGAATTTATCATTTCAAATTCATTTGAAATTTTTGCGTATCCCAATATCTATATATAACTTGAGCATATAAAAATAAATAAGATACAAATAAATAAGAGTAATTGCAATTCCATAAAACTAATTATATTTTATAATTAAGACAAATGTATATTGCAAAAATCTAATTTGATACAACAATTAAAATAATCTTGAATGTCAACAATTTTTTATTTATACTTTATCATAAATGAAATTTTTCTATTAAATATTTTCAATAACTTAGATAATCAAGCTATATTAGTTCTTAGATTTCGAATGATGAATATAAATCCATATAATTGAATTGATAATAAAATAGCACAGGAAAGTCAAATTAACGAATTTAAATGTTTTCAAAAGTTCGTCGTCTACTAAATGGATATTTTTGCGCTACATATCTTTGATTTGACCATTTTTTTAATCTATTGGCATAATATCTACTCTATCTAATCTGATATTAATTACAATATAGATTATAGATGTCTTTTTCATCAAATAGATATGTGTACGACATTCGACTAACAATTTTTATCATTATATAATTGATTAATCGAGAATAACCTTTTTCCTCTCACGCATCTAATCTAAAAAATTTATGTAAAATAAAGTTATAATTTATTAAACGTCAATGATTTCACTCACAAGTAAAATAAGCAATTATATTTGTTATCATACATAAAATAGATATAAATACTTATTACATATAAATCTTACTTATAAATCGATTTCGAATAAAAAATTATTCCACACATTCTCACATCAAATTTGCCTTAAAATATATAATAATTTATATTCAGTGATAAATTTTACTTTTAAATTTACATGTTATGCGTTTAAATAATTTTTTTCTCGAAGTCCTCGATACAAACAATATTGAATTATTGTTCTTTGCTATTATTTTTTGTAAATATACTAAGATATACATAAATAATTCTTCAAAATCACAATTGAATACTTATATAATGAAAATATATATATATATATATATATATATATATATATATATATATATATATTTTCATTATATAAGTATTCAATTGTGATTTTGAAGAATTATATATAGAAATAAATAACATTTCACAATATTTCTATTAAATGTGTTTATCATTTAAGCTTTTTTTACTAGGAGTTAGATATAATATTTAAAAAAGAATAAATAGAAAAGGAACATATAAGATATTTTTATACTAATGACAATTTCTATGATTCTATAATTACATTCCCAAAATACATTCTTTTTAACGATTATTTTGAAAGCTTAAATAAACGAAGTAGAATTTGTAAAGTTTTAGAAAATTTTCTTTACTAAGGCATATTCATTATTCTTAATATAATTTTCTTATTTATTGATAAAATAATGTTATAAAACATATAATTATGCAGTAAATTATGATCAATATTATTACAAAACTAAATTCTGTACTAATAATAAGTTATTTATCTTTTTCATTAATTTTTATACAGAAAAAAAAAACTAAATAACCTAATATAAACTATTAATTTACCTTAAAATGTTATAAAATGCTATAAGAATGCACTCATTTTACTTTTATTAACAATGGACTTTAGAGACTAATTACAATTTGTTTCAATTACAAATTATTAAAGATTATTTTTGATTAAACGCTTTAAATAAATTAATAAATGTTATTAAAATCATTATTCTATGAATACATTATTGAATTTATTTTCAAAATAATTATCCTTAATTGCCTTCATTGAATTTTATTTTATTTATTTGGTTTAGTTCAGTCATCAAAATCAAAATCCCATATTTACCATTTAAGTAATAATAATGATTAAACATTAAGTAACTTTAATAAAGAGCAAGAAGCAAGACTGCAAAAGCAATACATAACAGATAAGGAATATAGGATAGAAGAAGAAATAAGAAGCAAATAATAAGAAACGTTATGTTTATTTTCCTTTTCAATATCGTTTCACAAAAATTATTAAATACTTGCGGCTTTAAAAAGAAATGACAAAAAGAGTTTGATAACTTACATCGCAAAGATCATATTTACGAAAATAGTTATATTTTTTAAATTAGTAAGTTTAGCTTCGATGAACTATTAATTTTTCTTAATCCCTACGATTTTTTCGATAAATATAATACTTATAATTGTCGTATTCATTTTTTTTTTTTTTTTTTTTTTTTTTTTTAAAGTCGGAATTAAGTTTGTCAATCAATGTATAAAGTATTTTGCTGTAATAAAAATTATTATTTGAAAATCATTGTTAAGTATCACCGAAATTAATAAAATTATTTTAATGAAATTTATTTTTAATATAAGAAACTCGTCTTCCATTTGTCGCAAATTGCTAATTAAAAATTAAATTTTCTTTGATAATCGAGAGATGAAATTTCGAATGTAATATTTCCATTTACTAAATATATTACTATAATTATAAATAATATAATTGTAAAGAAAAAACGACTTTCTGTAACATATCAGATTACGAATGTATTTTTAAATGTGAACTATAAATAAATAGGATTGTTAGATGGCACATGTTTATGTGGGCGCACGTACTAGCGCGGCTGTTTTTTCGATACTTATTATTAAAAACAAAAAATCATAATTCGATTTGTGTTGCCAAGTATATTTGCTAATTGCTTACTGAATTAAATGACAAACAATGTAAGAGGAGAATAATCAAATTTGATTGATTATGGATGGTGTGGCATGTCATTTTATTCACAATTTAAATAAGTTTATGAGCATTGCCGTAATACTTATTTAGTATTTAATTAGAACTATTAAAGTCATAATAATCATTAATTTCAGCTAACATTAAAAAGTATATAAAACTATATCGAATTTTCATTAATGAAAGAGTACGAGTAATTGCCAGATTTGTCAGTAATAATGAACTTTATTCGACATATAACAAGTATTCATAGCTTAATTAAATTA